TGAGATAAACAAGATACTGCTGTAAGGAATATGATGTTTGACTTTGTGTAATTCCATGTTTCAAAATATATCATAAGCAGAAATATTTTTAATAAATTCCGCATTGATCAGAAAATGTACCAGCAACCTGAAAGAACGCGCAAGGAGCAATGATCTTACTTTATGGGACAAGCTGGCTAAAGAGGTCCCTTTATTAGAACCAACCTCGGTTGTACACAAAAACCACTTAACTTAAAACAGGTAATCAATAATTGGGAGGCCTCAAAGGTAGCCTCGGGGGGTAAATTCAAAATTATAATATATATATATTATCTTTGTTCTACTTTAAGAAATCCAACAAGCAAAAGAAAATTCCTAATCTTCATTTATATATAATCTATAATCATTTATAAAATTTTTTTTTTTTTTTGGTTCAACAACAGCCGACTATTCAAAAAATTCGCCATGTAAAAAGATAAGGGGAGAAGAAGGGATAACATACAATGGGTAGGAGAAAAAGGAAAAGGTGGAAAGGAGTAATAGGGAAGGTAGCCAAGGAATCCAGAAAAGATGCGATATGAAAGTGCTACAATGTTTCATATCCTCGTCCGTCTGGGGGTCTGGGAGGGGTGTATGGTTGACGAAGTTCCATATATAATGGCGTTTGGGTCAACTGCAGCTGATCATTCAAACATTCAATTTAATGTTGATGTTAGAGCTGGGAACAAGATTTGTCATAAATTTTGATTCCTCCTCGTAGATATTTAGCCCGACTCTTGCACACACCTCCTTTAAGTCGTTCAGCATTAGTTTAATCTCTTCAAGGCTATCCGAAATAAGAACTATATCGCGTAGCACAAATTACTTAGACATTTGTTATATTTATGCCTTTTTGGGTCCAATCCAGTTGTTTAAATGCACTCACAATCAGTACTTTACTACTTCTACTCTCTTCAGTACTTTCATGCAATTTTACCGTCAATATAGCATTCTTGTAAATGTTGTAAATAAATTTGGTATATCGATAATTGACTCTGCATTCTTAAGCAAAACTGACATCAACTCAATTTAAATTAAATTTTATAAATACGTCTATATACCCATCTTTGGTACACACCCCGGGGTATACATCCAGGAAATTTAAACTTGAAAATAAGTACCCGAGTATTTAAGAACACTGCTTTGTTATGGAAAAAATATAATGAGTTAAGGTTTAAAAATTAAATAACACAAAATATATGTTTTCAACTTTATTCCATCTGGAAAATGAAAATGGAAAATGGAAATTGAATACATCCCTCGGAGCAATTCGTTTAAGCTTTATTCCTTCGCTTGAAAATAAATGTTTCTTCCTTGTTATTCAAAATAAACAGTGTCCTTTTTTAAATAAATTGTTTTCCATAAATCTTTTTTATCAATTTCATTTGGAATTTTAGGTTTTACGTAAATTGAATAAAAGTTTGCGTTTGGGTGGTTATTGTATTCGAAGCTGATTTTTTTCATTACATGTAGTATTCGGAGTTGGGAGTTCATAAAAAAAGAAGGCTCAGCGGGGGCTTTTACAGCCGTCCCGATTGTCGATTTTAAATAAAAACACAATCCGCTTTCCGCTCGAACTTGCCATACGTACACAATGCTCGTTGATTTTATAGAATTTTTCGCATTGCACAACTCGTAAACAATAAAACTAATGTTATACAGGGTGATTCTCAACCTATACGCATACAACTTGGGGATTCATTCCTCATGACAAATAATGACTAAATATCACAATTGGGCTAGCCGAATTTACGATGTTGGCGGATTGTCTCGGCCATAGCATGTATCCAATTTCGCAATTCTTGCTCATTATGCACTTCAGTACATAAAGTTACCTCAAAAATAAAAATCCAGAAGAGTGAAGTCGGGCGATGGGGGTGGCCAGACGATTGGACCTCCTCGACTTATCCATCTTCCGGGAAACACATTATCTCTAGATGTCGTCATTCTGGTTTAGAAGTTTTTAGAGACGTGGGGCTAAATCCAAATGATTGTGGACACTTGTAAAGCAGCGTACATTGGAGAAACAGGCGGAAGCCTTAGAAAAAGAATAAGAGAACATAAACACAAAAATAACTCCAACTTCGGAAATCACTTAACATTTAACTTAAGTGTCGCATTCTAGTATGTACACACCATTGTCGTCCAGTTTAACTGCCCTGATGTAACATGCCTAAACGAACAAATTATACCTACAAGAAGACCACTATATACCTATCTCAAACAACCATACACACCTCCACGAAAACCTCCCGAACTCTAAAAATAGCTGCTCTCTCTGTACCATTATATTTTTCAATGTGTTTGATGTAGGGAGTTAATATGTTTATGTTATAATACCTCATTTTAACCTGTTGAAAATCAACCTATTCAAAACAAGAAAGTTTAAATTCAATACACGACAATCACATTTGACAGATTACCAACATTAAAATAGAAAATATACCATTGGCCGCACGTCTCTAAAGACGGCTAAACCCAAATGTTTCTAGTTTTAGGTCTAATCTTAGTTCTAGTGACAGTGCAAGTGTAAAATTAGAACTACACTATAGCTGGAACTAGAATCATTCGGGTTTAGCCGTCTTTAGAGACGTGCGGCTAAACCCAAATGATTCTAGTTCTAGGTCTAGTGTTAGTTCTAGTTTTAATTGTTGTGCAGCGCTAGACCAAGAACTAGAATCATTTGGGTTTAGCTGCACGTCTTTAAAGACGGCTAAACCCAAATGTTTCTAGTTCTAGGTCTAATGTTAGTTCTAGTGACAGTGCAAGTGTAAAACTAGAACTACACTATACCTGGAACTAGAATCATTCGGGTTTAGCCGTCTTTAGAGACGTGCGGCTAAACCCAAATGATTCTAGTTCTAGGTATAGTGTTAGTTCCAGTTCTACATAGCATTGTTACTATGTAGACCTGGAACTAACACTATACCTAGAACTAGATCATTCTAGTTTAGTCGTCTTTAGAGACGTGCGGCTAAACCCGAATGATTCTAGTTCTAGGTTTTGTGTTAGTTGTAGTGATAGTGCAATACTAGAACTAACACTAGACCGAGACTAGAAATATTCGGGTTTAGCCGCATGTCTCTTAAGACGGCTAAACCCGAATGATTCTAGTTCTAGGTCTTGTGTTAGTTCTAGTTTTAGTTCAATAAAACTATGCAACATAGTGATATCTTATGCTAACTAGTCACTACAATCAACATTAAATCTAGAACTAGAAACATTTAGGATTAGCCGTCTTAAGTAAATAATTTTTCTTACTTATTGAGGCTAACTTGTCCTTTCAGCAGTTTTACTAATATAACAGAGGATGCAAAGTCACATAGATAGAATCGAACTCGGGTTATTCTTTAGTTGCTCTATTCCATGTTCATAGATAAACTCGGGGTAATCCCCGAGTTGTCTATACGGTGTATAAATTAAGGACGGTAGTTCTAGTTTTAATTGTTCTAATTTTAAAAGCTTTAAATGTTATTAGTTTTATTACACAATTTAAATGTCACAATGACGCAAGCGTACTTAAACAACAGTTGGAAAAATTGCAATTAGCTTTGTTCGTTGGGACTGCACTACTTGCACTAAGCAGATGTTGTGTGTTCGTTGGGAAAGTGCAGTTGCACTCATATTGTTCGTTAGGCCAATTTCGTGCAGCCGATGCAAGTTAGTGCAAATTTTGTTGAACCTGCTGTCGGGTAAGTTCAACAAGTGCAGTGTAATTGTAACTAAAACGGCGGAATATTTGGAAGCGTGTTTTGTAATAAATGAAGATGGAGATAAAATCATCGAAAAGAATTGTTATTTGATTGTTGTAGGTAAGTAGTCATAATATTATTATTAATATTAATATATTATTAATATTAAATATTAAGAAATAAAAGAGCCAGTAGAAAATGGGCAAGAATGTTATAGTTTTGAAGACAATACGATTAAGAAATAATGAAATAATATATGAAATAATGTGGAATTTGATAAGCAATAAAATGAAGGGGTAAGCGGACATTGCATCTCCTCTCCAAGTAGAGAACAATTGGAAGAGTCTTGAAAGAGGCTATAAAAACAACATCAAAGAAAACTGGAAGAGGTGGAAGAACCTGTCCATACGAAAGGGAATTATAGGATATTTTAGTAAAGCGTCACTCTATACAACCTATTTGTACCTTAGGGAGCTCGACAATGGGGAATATCGATGATATGGGAAAAATGCGAAAACCAGATTGTACAACAGAAAAATACATAGAAGATGAACCAATTTCGGTTCCTGAAACCGAAAGATGCTTTACACCAACAGTAACAAAACCTCCAATCAATCACTTAGTCCCTCATCCGGACTTCGTTTCTAGAACCAAATCCGGACTTCATGTATCAAATTGACACAATGGCAGACAATAATTGTCTGTCTATTTTTCTTATGATAGGTTTGATTGAATGCATTTGAATAGATGAAAATAAAGATATTTCTTTACTTTTTTTTATTTTATTGAAAAAAATACATACAAATTTCATATACAAAAAGGAGAATAACCCAAAAAATCATTTAGCTAATCAACTTTACACAATCCTCACAAACAGTAAATCGATGAGCTGGACAAACGTATTTCACACATTTGTCGCAGCGAATGCTGTGTAGATTACTGTTTGGGCGAGATGGGCACATGTGACAACGGGCTCTTTTTTTGATCGGTGGTGCGTGTTCCAATAATAATGGTGATGATACATGTGCATCTTACGAATTTGTAGCACCCGATGTTGATGGTTGTTCATTTGATTGCTTGCGGACGCTATCTACAACAGCCAGCGCATTTGTACCCCGTGGTCTAGTGTTTCGTTGCTTCATATAAGGAAAACATAATGCTCGGCCGATTTCTATCAAAAATAATCTTCTGCGAAAACTTCTTTTTGCACTATTCCAATTGGTATTCAATTGGGTAAATAAAACGAAAGCATTGTAAGGAGAAATGTTACAAAACAGTGCAACAGGCCACCTATGCAACCCATAATTTGATGCCATATTTGGCCGGTTTTGATGAGATGTACTGCTTGAATGGTACACGGCCACGAAACGGAAGCAATTGCTCATCGACAGTAACAAAATCTCCCGGAATATACGTTTGTTTCAACCGTTGAACCCAATTATCAAAAATAAAGCGAATAGGAACAAGTTTATCTTTTTGGTTTTCTCTTTGCTCTTTATCGTCAAATCGTAGACAACGGTTGATGTCTTTGAATCGGCTAATTGCCATAGTTGCAGCGAAAATTGGGCGGCCATGTTTATTATTCCACAATTCTTCAATACATTCACCCTTAGAACGATAAACACCAGCTAATAAAAGCAATCCATAGTAAGCACGCATTGTGGTTACATCGACAGCTAACCATTTTTCTCTATAGCGACGAACGCCATACAAATTCGTCATTTCAACGACCGTATTTTCAAATGGTTCAATAAATAATAAGAAAGCAGACAATGTGTCTGATATACGAGCGGTAGCAAACGGTGTTGGACCTATACCACAAGCAATTTATCGAATAGTTTCAGGACACGAGAAATACGTTATATACGCACCTTGTTTGGAAGCAAAGGAGGTAGAACTATTAGAACGAGCAATTGGCGTTGATTGTCTAGAACATTGTATTGTTTTATCTTTTGATAAAAACAATACATTTGAATCTAAAACAGTCGCCTCTCTTGTTTCTTGTTCAATGAAGTCAACATCAGAATCGTCGGTATCATATTCATCCCTTGCTTCATTTTCAACTTCCTTTTTACTTGGAATATAGTCGCCATCATCCTCGGTGTTAGTGTCATCACTACCAAACTGATCAAACCACGATTCATCCATTTGGTAAATGTAGAATAATAAATTCAAGTGTATCACCAAACCAAAAATATTACACGTATTTCTCTAAACGTTTCACTAAATGAATTGTTTAGAATGAAATTTTTATTGCAAAGACCTGTTACGACAACCTGTACAATAACATCTGCTTGCAAAGTCAAAATTGGGACCTAGTAAAGTGTCACTTTACGGTGTGTCAATCTGACACATCAAGTCCGGATTAAGGATTCTTTTTTTTTCCGGCTACTAGGTAAGAATTATGGCAAAAACAAAAATGGAAATTTAAAATAAATATGAATTCGTTCACTGAGCCAAAATATCTAGTTGATTCGACCGTAAATAACAAAAATATCATCAATTAATTTTGAAAATTGTATCAATTTGACACAAAGTCCGGGTCCATCCCAGAACAGAAATCGTGATCGCACCACGACTGGAGAATTAAGTAAATTAAGACAATTGCAAGAAGAAATGTTTAAATTTAAAAAGGAAAATGAGGAAAGAAAATTTAAACAAAGGCAGGAGTTAATCGAAGAAATGAAAACTATTTCGCTGACAATCTCCTGTTCGTCAATTTCAAATATTATACACTTGATAAAAACCTGTTCGTTGCAACCACGCTTTACACACTTTTCTAACCTGCACTCAGTTGACATAACCTTGCACTTACTTACACTTAATTGCACTATGACGTCATACTAGTGCCATGTTGTGCAGAGTAGGGAATTCGAAAGTTAATTTTAAGGATATTTTGGAAACTAACACACTTTTGCTACAATTTTTTTAACCAATTAGTCATTATGTGTCATGAGGTCATGTAAATCCTCAAGTTTATGCGTATAGGTTAAGAATCACCTGCATTAGTCTACAATGACGGCGTAACCATTCAAATGGTTATCTGTAACTATTGCGGAGAAGATCCACACGCAAACTATCTTAATCTCTAAATCAAGCCCATAAATCCGTGCCGGCA